CATCGCCATAAACTCATATCGTCGCTTTACCGTCATGTTATATTCATCGCTTACTCATCATGAAATTATCGCATCATATTCACTTTATGTTCAACACAAAAATCATCACAAAACAAAGTATCATGTATCATCACAATTCATCATAAGCCATGAAATAAAACTCAACGCCAAAAGGCTAAAAAATAAACATAACTGACTCCATGAGACACGACTATGTTATGCATGTGGTACCCGTCAGTTTGTCCATAATTAGGGATATTCAGCATAAAAGCCCATAGTCGCTTTGGCATAAATGCACTTGTCGCTTGGCATAAAAGCCCTCATTGCTAATGCAATGTATGTGACTCGACAACACGACATCACAAACACGACACAACAAAACATCATCATCGCACATCAAAATTGGCATAAAGCCCACGTCACCATATTTATCCACATCAAGATAAACATATCATCGCATCGCATATCATCAAGTATTCATTATAAATAAACCGTCGCAAACATCATGTTTAATCACACCACATCATTATCAAATAATTCACTAAATTTCAAACACGGAAAGATAGTCAAACATCAATAATCGTCGCGAAAGTCAATCATAATAATCGGCATCAATCATAATCATTAACGTCGCAATCAGATTGTCCATACGCGACTTAAACCGACTAAAACACAACCCATTTCAAATTAACCGTAAATTGGCCTATTTCGGGTCGCTTCATAAAAACTCGAAATCTTGAAAAACTAACCTCACCACGACGTTCTACACGTCGAAATTAGCTAGCACGCCAATTTTCGTTCAATTCGGAGCAACTAGCTCCGTCGCCGAAATTGTCGAAATCAGGAAATCGGAACATAATCGGGTTCCAAATTAAATCGGCTAACTTATGTCATATTTGTATTTAATTAATATAAATATTTAATTTATTAAATTAAGAAAAGAAAAACAAAACCTAAACTATTTTTAAAAAAAAATAGCACATAATTCATGAAACAGCGGAATGGCGACGACATCATGAAACATATTATTTCCAACTTTCGTTTCGTTTCAATACTGCATAGTACTTCTATTTCCATTTTGTTTTGAAACGAACTGCATACTTTAGTTTTATAAACTTAACTTCTATACTGCATAGTGTTTCTATTTCCATTTTGTTTTGAAACGAACTGCATACCTTAGTTTTATATACTTAACTTAATTAATATAATTTAGTTTTTCTAATTTAATTTCTATTAACATAACAATAATCCCACAATACTAACACCTAAATTATCTCTCCTAATTTATCTCAACAAATCTCAAGAACCCTAACATCAATTTTATCCCAAATCAAAATATACCAAATCAAACCCTAACTATAAGCATTGGAAAATCAAACCCCTTACCTTAGATACTTGAAATGATTCTTGATGATTTCAGCCAACCCAAAACCCAAGCTATGGTGTTCTTCTTGTTATTTTCTCCAAGACCTTCTTGTTCTCTTTAACTCTCACAAAGTGTGTTTTTGTATATTATGTCATGAAACAAGTGTGTTTGGTTTATTTTGATGCAAGACAAAATCTAGGTAAAATAACAAAAAGCCCTTCTTAAAATATACTACTAATTAACACTAAATAATATCAAATAATATTATTAACCCAAATAATTAAAATAACTCTGAAAAATTAAATATCGGTCCCAATAATATTTTACCGAACCGAATGGAATAAAAACCAGACCGAACAAAATAATTACCGGACCGAATAAAATAATTACCGGTCCCAATAAAATGTCGCCGAATATATTAACAGATATAACAGTTAATTTAAATATTCTCGTCACAAAAATAAATGTCAAACGGTAACTCGAAAATATTAATATAATATAATATTAAATAAAACGGGGCGTTACAACTTCCATATACCAGCCTTTCGATTCAGTGACTTTTAAAGCAAAGTAGCGATCCCACTAGCTCAAGGAAGGTCCCTGCAAGCTTAATCCATCATCAAGTCATTTCTGGAAGTCATATAGAGGTCATTTGATTTTCACTTCAAGAGGTAAGATTTCTTAACTGTGATATCTTGATACAAGCATTTTGAGCACATATAAATAAAAGAAAAGATGTAGATATCATATCTAGGAAGCTGACCATGCTCTTAGTTTTGATTTTCATTGCTTGTGTCTTAAGAATTTCAACTCTGACCAGTTAGGTTTTGATTTTGGTACCAAACAAAATTCGTGCTAACCTCTGAACCATAGCTTTTAAAAGTTACATGGTTAGATTCGTATTAAAATTTTGAGCTGGTTTGATGTTTACAATTTTTGATTTGGCTGAGAAATGAAGCTTTTAGAAGCATAACAATGGTGACATACATCCCTGCGCGCGCGAAGGAAGAAGATGAAGCCATGTTCAAATTTTCAGAAATGAGTTCATTTTATATTTAGTGCAAGTTGGATAAGTAACAGATGAAACAGATCACCCTAGTGGTACAAATAGCGCGCGCGTAAGACATTTATGTATAAGGTCCTGGGTTCAAGCCCCAATGAGACCTTTTGTTATTTTTCCAAATTTTCTCACTTTTTCTTTGTTTGTAGGAAGTGCGTCCGGGCCTCCATTGGTTGGGCCTTGCCATTTTTATTTTTCTGACACCCCATTTTACTTCAATAATGCAGGCCATTTTTATTTTTTTTAGTTCTATAATTAAATGATTATTGGGTCAGGCCAAACAAAAACTATTTTCATGCAAAAAACCCTAAAATTGCACCTTTGATTAATTTCATTTTTAACTTAATTCAATTCTCCTATTTTAATTAATTGTCCTTATTTAATTATTTAGGTCAAAATCTTTTCTTAACAAAATCCAAAGTAAAATCTATTTCTTTTTATTCCTTGTAATTATATTCATGTCATTTCTTGTATAAATTCAATATGGTTGTAATAGATAATTAGGGTTTAATTTCTTGCAATCCCCATTTATAAATTTGTATTTCCCTCCCCAAATGATGTAATAGCGTATTAAATTTACTTTCCGCAATTTATCGCTTTTTTATTAATGCTAGTAAGTTAGGGTTTGTATGGAAAAATAAAATCAATACTTAGAAAACCCTAATTCAAGATAAATCAAGCATGAAATATAAACACTTGCGCACTTGCACCTCTAGGGTTAATTCCACTTATTGCCTTAAGAAAATGGTCATGTTATGCATGTGAGACGTCTTAGCAAAAACAATAAAAAAATACAAGATCATAGTCCCTCGATGACGCTACAAATGTTGCCTTCAAATGATTTTGGTCCCTCAAGAAAAATGCTAAGATATCTCACAACATTGCTATTCATGACCATGCGATGACCCACACCCGTCCCTTTACATCCAAAGATAAGGCTTCTTACCAATCAATGGTAAGATAACAATATCAAAGGAAGGAAGAAATGAACAAAAGACTTTTGAGTAGATAAAACATTCTTAGTTGGTTGCTCACAGTCCATCTTCAAAAACAAACATCTTTTCAAACACACCAAACACTTTCAAAACATGGAACATTTTCAAAAAAGTCCAACACTTTGTATGCATTCTTATAGAGACGAGAATCATTACAAAGTTTGCCTAAACGAAGGCGCTTTTCAAAAATACTTTCAAAACCCACCGAAACAAATTTCAAACAAAGCAATTTCAAAAGTGATCTAGCAAACAACTAAGAGTCCATAGATAACTGTGGATGAAAAGGGTACTAACACCTTCCCTTTTCATAATCTACCCCCCGAACTCAAGAAAACATCTCAAAGGTCTTTCCTGTTCTTTTCACCCTTTCCCTATTGGATAAAAGAAAAATCGGCGACGACTCTTGCTATCTGCAACAATTGCAATCGAAACACAAAACAACCAAGTCAATTCTCCCATCGTATTACAGTGACTAATGATGTTTGATAACAAGCGTATAGTTACAAACTGTCGTATGTTAAAACTATATTAAATATTGTGATCTTTAGGATGTAAAGAATATGTATGACTTATGATATGTCCTTTCTTCTTGAAGGAATATATATTTATATATGTCTCTAGGGTCCAGGATTTGAGTTTTAATCGCTCCTTTCTTATTAGAATAAATTATTAACCATCTAATGTAACATATCTATTAGAGGGCAGGAGAGTGCAATATCACCCCTAATTTTTTTAATATATATATATATATATATATATATATATATATATATATATATATATATATATATATATATATATATATATATATATATATATATATATAGTGTTCAAAGCATATAATAACAAGAGTGAAAAAAGAATTAGAACTACTCTGTAATGGACTTATACATTTATTCTAACCTAACATTTTAAGACTAATAGATCAAAATTATTTAAAATAAAACCTTTTTATTAACCTATTCCTTTTTTTATTGAGAAAAGTCTTATTTTTTTAATTAAGTCTTGTTTTCTAAAATAAAGTCTTATTTTTCTTATCTTCAATAATATAAAATCTTTTTAATATAAATCAACACGAAGCCTTTATTTTTATCGTCATTTGAACGAGGACATTTTGGTTTAAGATTTTCATAATTACAACACAGAAATCTAATTAAAAAAATAAAATAGTTTAAATTTTATTTAAATTGATGAAATATGATGAATTTGAATAAATATTTTTGATTAATTTTTTAATTAAAAACTCATTTGAAAATTCTCAGTTTTACATATTAATCATATATAAAGAAAAGGTTAATTTAGTTTAAAGTGTTTTATAAATGCCGTAAAAAAAAGAAAAAGATGTTTATGTAAATTAGGTTAGTTCTAAATTGGAAATTTGGTTCGAACCGGGTTTAAATAGGTTAAGACTCCGGTTTTAACCGATACTAGTATATAAACCCAAAAGAATCGTTGGATAAAAGGGTTTAGTTAAAGTTAACTATTGTCTCCAGAATAGGGTTTTGAAAACTGCAACTCACATCACCATAACAACGAAGCATAGAGAGCGAAATCCTGAAACCTGATCGGTGCCAGCAAGATGGGAGCGACGCATCAAGTCAATAAGCCTCATAAATCACGTTTCTCTTCAAAATCTTCTCGCAACATTCACAAAACCTCCGTCAAAGGTTCGTATTTTCAAGCTATGAATGCCTTAATTTTGTTTTTACATCGATTATTATTGTTAGTGTTTTCAATTGAATTGTTTAGATAGACTTGCGATCGTTAAATCGTCGCGCAATGTCGGCAAAGGTGCTCGTGCGACTCGGCTTCAGAGAAATAAAATGGTATTTGAATTTGAATCTGTTAAGATGTTGCTATTGTTCCTTGTGTGTTGTATTGTATTTACTTTCGAGTTACTGATTTGTATATATACAGATTCGTGAGCAAAAGAAAGCTGCGGTGTTGAAAGAAAAAAGAGAATTGAGTGGATCGAAATGTCCTCCTCGCGTAATTGTGAGTTAATTTATTTATTCTGCCTTTAATTTTGGAACTGAATTTGATATTATATTTATGCGTTGTTTGGATAAACAACTTAATTTAGCGCTTATAGCAGTTGCGAGCATTTGTAAATAAGCTGTAAACACGTTTTAAGCTGTTTTCGTAAGTTTTTCCTAGTAGTCTAACAAGTGCTTATGCCTTATGATAGCAGTTAAAAGTTCTAATAAGCCAATTCGAACAGACTTATTTATTGCATACTCGTTTTGATGTCACTTTTATTGTGTCCTCAGACCTGTATTAACTTTTTGTTCCTCCTAGGTTCTTTTTGCCCTTCGAGATACTGTGGATTTAGAACCAGTTGCAAACGATCTTTTGTCATTGTTATCCAATGATTCTTCTGCGGTGCTGTCAGAGACAGTTGCTTCTTCTGAATATCGGACCAGAGTAACGGTACATCTGTCTGCTCCCTCATTCTCTGTAAATTAGTTAATTTGTTGGGTTTGTATATGCAACTTGGATTGTGTTAATTGATGTTGATAAGAAATTTTTTTATACTTAGTATTTAATAATAGTTGTAAATATATGAGTAATGAGTTTAAAGTCTATTATAGAAGTTAAATATAGACATACACCTGGTTAGTTGAGAAATAAGAAACCAGTTGTAATTTAGATGTCTGTTCAATGGGTATTTAATGATGTTTTTTGTATAGTCATTTTCCCAATTATGTTTTGACGGATGTGATTTTACACCAATGTTATATATGCTGCAGGTACTGAAAGCACCTCATGGTGATTTACAGTCCTGTCTGGAAATGGCTAAGGTATTATCTTTTTGTTTTTATTCTTTGTTTCTCAAGGATTTTAGTGTGCGGATGTGGAGAATGTTGGTTGTGATTACTGTTCAACACTGTTTGTGCCGTAGGTTGCTGATCTACTGGTTTTTGTCGCCTCTGTAACTGCAAGGTCTTTGTGTGAAGAAACTGATTCTTACTTTATTGATTCATTTGGAAAGCATTGCCTTTCTATATTTAAATCACTTGGTTTACCAAGCACTGCAGTCTTTGTTCGGGTAAGTTATGGTGGCTCTTATTATTGGAACTTATGGATTAACTTACACGAGCTTACAATCATTTCATGAAGCAATTAAGTTTAACCATTTACGTGGAATTTCCATGTAACGCTTTCAGGATTTGCCAACCGAGCTAAAACAAAGAAATGAACTAAAGAAGGTTTGTACATCTAGTCTTGCCTCTGAATTTCCCGAGGATTGTAAATTTTATCCAGCTGATACAAAGGATGATCTTCACAAGGTATTTATTTCACCAATTGATGACTGAAAATTTCGATTGCACCTGCTGAATTTATCACCCATGTATGATCATTTTGATTGTCTAATCCTTCCACTTCTCTCATCTCTGCAATCGCAGTTCCTGTCACTCTTTAAAGAGCAGAGGCTTAAAACTCCTCATTGGAGGACTCAACGACCTTACCTCACAACTAACAAGGTTTGAATTCATTAGTTTGATCCAGACGTTGTTTGACTCAATCAATGTACATATAGTTTCTCATATCAAGCTTATCATGTTTACAACCATAAATTACAGGTCGACACGGTATATGATGTCAATTCTGACAAATGCACCCTTGTTCTCAGTGGTTACCTTCGTGCTCGTAACCTCTCTGTGAATCAACTGGTAATCAGTGATGTCATTCAATAAATTTTAGTTGCATTTAGTTGTTTGTTGTCTCACATTTTGTTTGTTCAGGTTCATGTATCAGGTGCAGGAGATTTCCAACTGTGCAAAATTGAGGTTCTTAAGGATCCATTTGCTTTGAATTCAAAGAAAAAACAAGACTTGATGGATTCTGATGAAATGCATGACGGGGAGGTACAAATTTTTACCTAATTTTCAAAACTATTGGTTAGGAACTCTTAAAGGAAGCGCCCTTTAAGATTTTGTGTTTCAATCAGGTTTTGCTCATATATTATGTAAATATGTAGCAGTGTCAAAATATATAATATGCACATGTTCAGAAGGTAGGGTTAATTATATAAATATATATACCAGTATGTTGAAATGTATAAAATAGACATGTTTAGAAGGTGTAAATAAAATATTGTAAATTAACATTGAAATATAACAGTCAGTATGTTTTGAAGTATAATATGCACATGTTCAAAAGGTAAGTAAAATATTGTAAATTAATATTGAAATATAACAATTTAAATTGGCAAAGACTGACTTTGTCAATCTGGAAACACCAACATTATTCCATCTTAATTTTGATATACTGAAATTCAAAATCTTCTTTTTGTGCCACACGTGGACATTATGACCTTCTTTACTCATTTAATCTTGAACCGTTCATTTATATTTGCACAATTATCTCATTTCCCCCCACATTTTAATGTTGTAGATCATTCGTTCTCTAGTTCCAGATCCTGAAATTCAAGAATCTTTAGTTGTCGAGAATACTCCCGATCTTATTGCTGGAGAGCAGGTAGATATTAAAATTTCATTTATACTATTGCCATTTGTAATATTTGATTTATGAGATGTTGTATTCCTAATTTCTTGACTGACATCGTTTTAGTTGATGATTAGACTATTTTCTAATTTTATTTTTTAAAGTATAATATGACAGAACATGCTCTGATGATTATTTTATAATTCAATCAGTTGTAGCCTGTTATCCATGTTCTCTCTTTTTAGCTAAGAATCAACCCCCCTTTATCTAAACAAAGTGCTTTAATAAGATTGTGGGGGCATAATCTTAATAGCACGTGCTTATTTATTTGCAAGATTGTTTTGTTTAGTAGTGTTTTGGTATGACATTATTACTTGTTGACAGACATGGCCAACGGAGGCTGAAATGGCACAGGCTGATGAAGATCGAAAGCAAAAGAAGTTAAGAAAGAGGAAGCTTCCTGCTGGCACTTCAGAATACCAGGTATGTACTTGATTCACTTCTGATTCACACATTTTTTTGCTCACCAAGTATCTAGTATGGAAATTATATGTATCAAATATTTTTTATTTATTTTCAGGCTGCATGGATTGTTGATGACTCTGATGAAGAGCAGTCGGACTGTGACAATGAAGATGAGGATGGTATGATGTTGGATGAAGTAAATGGGTTTCCAGGTCTAGAGGGGAATAAGTACGTAGATGCCGATGGTGATGGAGCTTCACTAAGACTTGGAGATTCTGATGACGAAACTGACAATGATTCTGTGATGATGGTGAGCTCGCTAATACTTTTGCAGTACTAAAATATTTATATCCTTAGACCTTTGGCCTCCCTGGATGGTCTCTTGTCCTTTATTTTGTTGTTCTATGTTGTTAATCTCGGATAGCAATGCGTAGCACCGACCCTCTAAAATGCTATAGCAGTATAGCGGGATAGTGGTTATTGCAAAGACTAAAAACCAGTGTACAAATTAAACATAAATGCTCAAAATAGACTAATTTACAAATTTAAAGAGATCATCATACTTAATAGTTATATAACCCGTTAAATAACCTAAAGTATAGAGTAGTAATACTTAAGCAGAGAGAGAATAAAACAGAACTGAACTAAAAGTAGGAAGAACAAAAAGATTATTTTTGAGCAAGAACATAACATTACTCTTCAAAGGGGTTGGATTGAAATTTATACCGTTAAAATAGACGACAGTTAAAAAGAAAAGAATTTGAGGAATTTATCCCCAAAATTTTACCTCTGCTACGCCGTTCTGTTTGCATGCTATTGACAGCGGCTCGCGAACAAAAAGCGCCGCGGCAAACTCTCCCATCGCTCCGTTATTTCGTTATAGCAGCGTTATAGCGTGCTATTGACAACATCGATTTTGTTCCCCTGTATATGACACTGTATTGGACAGTGCTGCTTTATCAATCAATCCCGTGTATGTGGTATTATGGATATTCAGTTATTTTTGGGAGTTTTGCGTTTATAGTATTTCAATTCAGGGCTTGCATTATGATAATCCTGGCCCATAGCTGGGTATCTGATTACCTTTTTCTAAATTTTTGAAAGGTATTCCTTCTTTTAAATGTATGTTTGTGTGTGTGTATGTGTTTGGGATTAATTGGCGCTGATGTAAGACTTAATATAGAAAATATGACTGACAAATCCAAATGTTCATTTTTTAACTAATACTACGTAGTTATTTTGCATCCTCGGATTAATGCATTTTGGGGTTAATAAAGTTTTATTGTCTGCATACATAATGGGCTTGTGAACATAAGCTCTATCATTTCTCAATAACTTTTTCAAACTATGGCTATTTCTGTTTACTTTAAAAGTATATTATTAATTAATATTAAGACGCTTCTCTCTAAGTAAACAATGTTGAATTAGTTTTTTGCCAGATTAGTTTTGATTCCCTTGGCGGATCATGAACTATATCTTTAATTGCACGATAACTATTTTGGTATTACAGGAAGTTGACAACATGACTACAGAGAAGATACAAGATGAACTTAAGGAACTTAAAGAAGCACATGCTGCAGATGAGGGTATTTTTTTCATTTATGTTCTTATCAGTTTTATTACTATAATTGTGTGCTGTGTGTGTCACATTCGCCTTTTTTCCTAGAAAGGCATGAGAATTTGGAATGCACATTGAATGTAACTTTTTTTTGGGTTTCTACTTTATATTTCATGTCCCGCCTTTTGCACATTGTTTGAAACTTTGCCTTAGATAAGCAAAAATGACATTTATAGATAGTTTCCTCCGTGTTGTTAAATATCGGTTATATCGCCGATATACCGGTTTTTCATATTTGGAATTTGGCTATCCGATACGAAAGACGATATTCCGTTTCAATTTTGCTACGCTCAACATATCGGCCGTTTTCCGGTATACCGGTTTTGAATTTGATATCAGAATTAATATTATTATGATCATTTTTATAATAAGTCATATTAAAAAATATTTAAAATATAGAATGTGAAGAGGTGAAATCAAAAAGTAGGTTGTGAAGAGGTGTACAGTAATAAATAGTACTCCCTCCATTCTCTTTTATAAGCAAAAATCAACTTTTTAGATTCATTGAACAAGTAATTTAACTAGTCTATATACATCATTATTAAATGAATTTAAAAAGTCAAAATTTTCTTATAGAAGAGAATGGAGGGAGTAGTAAATAGTAGGATGTGAAGAGGTGCTCAGTAATAAAGTAGAATGAAAAAAGGTGGAGTATTGATAAAGTGGAAATATGAAGAGGTGTGTAGGTATTATTAACATATTCTGATTGCTAGTCTCGAAAATAGAAGAAAGAGAATGGGAAGAGGTGTAATATTAATGAGTTGATGTGATTATTTTTATAGGAATCAGAGTGCCTCCATCACCATAACTTTTCTCTTCACCCTATTCATTCTTCACATTCTGGAAATGTGGATAATGATTATGTTGGGAAAATGGAGAATAATTAGATTTTTATCACTAGTTATGCTTAGAACTATGAGTATTACTTAATTTTTGAAGTTTGAATTATTTAATTGAGTTTTAAGTCATTTTGATTTTGAAGTTTGAACTAGGTTGTTAGAACTTGAGATTTTCAGTTTAATGCTAGTAAACTTTTTTTATATTTGTTTATGTTAGTAGCTTTTATATGTGTGTGGCATGTTTTATTTTATATATAATTATTTATTTTAACCTCTTTGCAGTTTATGCTATTTCATTACGATATCCGATATTTCTTATATCGATTTTTTGGTGATCCGATATTTTCTGCGATCCACTATTAACTACACTGGCTTGCTGTTTTGTTGCTCATAGATTATTCTTTTTTGTTTATTGCTTGCCATTTGTTTGTTGTTGTAGAGTATCCTGATGAAGTTGATACACCATTGGATGTTCCGGCTAGAAAGCGGTTTGCAAAATATAGGGGACTCAAGTCCTTCAGGACTTCTTCATGGGATCCCAAAGTATGTTTGTCTTTTGGAGATTCTTTACAGCGAGACATTGCTACTTAAAATAATAAGTAATCTGACATTTCTAATATTATCAGGAGTCTCTACCCCAAGATTATGCCAAAATTTTTGAGTTTGATAATTTTAAAAGAACACAAAAGCATGTTCATGCTAAAGCTTTAGAATTGGAAGATGAAAACAGAGAGGACAATATTCTAGTTGGCTCATATGCTAGGCTGCATATCAAAGAAGTGCCCTGTATTGTGGTCTCAAAGCTACGTTCGCTTGCACAGACAACCCCAGTTACAACATGTGGCCTGTTGAAACACGAGTCAAAAGTATCTGTCCTTCATTTCAGGTGCGTATATGCTATATCATTTGTTGTTGGTTCATTTCAGCGTCCTCTCATCAAAAGTGGTTCTCTGAGTATTCAATAGATGTGTCATGAACTAAATCACTCGTGTTTTGTAGTGTGAAGAAGCACGAAACATATGATGCACCCATCAAATCCAAGGAAGAGTTAATATTTCATGTTGGGTTTCGGCAATTTGTTGCCCGACCAACTTTCTCTAGTGAGTTCATAAACACAGACAAGAACAAGATGGAGAGGTTTCTTCATGCTGGACGATTTTCAGTTGCTTCAATTTATGCACCAATTTCATTTCCTCCTCTTCCTACTATAGTCCTAAAGGCAGTTGGAGATGGTGCTGCACCAGTAGTGGCTGCTGTTGGCTCACTGAAAACTGTTGATCCAGATAGGATAATCCTTAAGCGTCTTATTTTGACAGGGTATGTTTTTTTTTGCCAAAATCCATAAATTGAAAACTTTTATATAATATTAAATTATTTCATTATATCTCAATATTATCCTATAGTCAAGATTTGTTTCCCCATTTATTCTTTTTCTCTCTGTTCTTTTTTTGAAACCCTATAATCTCAACAAAAACACTGCATATAAATAATATGTTCTATAGTCATGTCTTTTTGGTTGAAGTCTTTGCATACCAAAACTGGGGAAAATGTAATTATTTTCATTTCAGAATTGTGACATTTATGATGATGATCCACAATAAAAATACTGTTATGGTAATTAGAAGTTTTTGAACATTCTGTTGCAGCTACCCCCAAAGAGTATCAAAACGTAAAGCTTCCGTAAGACATATGTTCTATAATCCAGAGGATGTTAAATGGTTCAAGGTAAAAAACAATTGTTTCCCTTTTCTTAAATCGTTAGATATAATTTTGATGATTTGTATAGTATTGAGAGAACTTATTCTCTAGAAGTTATCCTCAACTACCACCCTAACTTGATTTCTTAATGTGGGTGATGATTGCAGCCTGTAGAGATATATACCAAACGTGGTCTTCGTGGCCGAATTAAAGAACCAGTTGGTACACACGGTATGTTATATTTCATATCCTTACTGCTAATCTTACTATAAACCTGCAGGCAGTTACTCATTTTAGGGGGAGACTGATTATATATTGCTTCATTAATGATGTACCTGTGCAGTGTGTATTCCACGTTTTTCATCTTGACTCATTTTTCAAAATATTATCTCTTGATTTTCTTATCCTGGGAAAATGTTTCTTAGATGAGTAGTAAGTATATAGAAACTTATGGGAAATTATGAACTAGTCAGATAAATTACAACTATTAGATCTGCTCCTTCATTGAATATGGATTGCAATGGTTGTGTTTCCGAAAGGAAATCATACTTCACTATTGGTAATACAACTGTACCCATTTATGATATTTTTGATGCTCAGCTCCATAGTTTCTTGGCGATTTATCATACTCATGTGAGAGTTCTGGTTGTAAGTAGTGTCTAGTAAACAGATCTGACCCCTCAGCTCCATAGTTTCTTGGCGATTTATCATACTCATGTGAGAGTTCTGGTTGTAAGTAGTGTCTAGTTTACTATATGTTGATGAAAAGGGTGGATAAGGTGAGTGTTGAGTGAGGAACCAAGAAAGATAACAGAGAAGACTGAGATAAGTATATAAAAATTAATCTTACACTAATGATAATCAATTACTCAGTTTATTGTTTTGTAGACACATGTAAATTCCCTGTGTAAGTTTTATTGGTTCATATTCCAGCCCGTAATCATCACTAACCTTAAAATAAACGTGGGATACCTATTGATTGTATTCTGTTTATTGTTGTTCAGGAGCAATGAAATGTCTTCTCAATGGAGTGCTTGCACAGAGTGATACTGTATGTTTGAATTTATTCAAACGTTCATACCCAAAGTGGCCAACCCGTCATTTTCCTTTACTAGATTAGATTATCAATGGGATGGCCATTGAATTCTGTTATTGATCAAGGAATTCAGTAGAAAGCCAATTGTATATTGATTGGGAATGAAGCTTTGGTTCAGATTGACTTCCTTGAGCGGAGGATGCAGTTTTGTGGTTCTTTATTAACTTAAAGAAATGATGGCCAAAACCCCCTAGCTGGTTCGGGCTAGTGCGAGAGAAGATAAATTATGAGATATCAAATTTTGTATTAATTTTTTAAAATTATATTTGCATACAGAAATACCATGTACAATCGTATTATAATTCATATATATCTTGTCATTGTAAGATGAACTTCATTTCAGCTAAGACTACATGCATGTACGCAAATCCTTTTGTATTGTAGCTCTTGATTGGTTTGGACTTTTAACCAATGGCTATAAGCACATTCGACTATGAAGTTAGTTGTGGTTTGGATTCCAGTTTCCAGCAGATAGATGCCTCAGGGTTAAGACTTTAAATAAATAATATAATCAAGTGATTGTGTCATTATGGCATGTTTGCTTATTTTTAATTGTTTATATATATATATAACTAACTAACTAACTAGAGATAAAATAAAACATAACTACTTTATAATAGACATGTTTAATAGAGTGAATATACAGTTGTTAGTTTATAACAGTTAAATACATTTGGTTTGTTAGAGATTAGTTAGGCTAAGCTGAGCTTGTCACTGCAGCCTTTCTGTTGTAACAAACTCTCTAAGAGTTTGCACTCTTTCAATAACAAACTCTCATTCTGATCCAGCTCTACCATGACTTCTCCTACGCATTTGTCAACACCATCGCTAGATGAAAACTCATCTACGCCATGAAATGCATCAAAATGTTTCAAAAAAATGCGTTTAGAACGTTCGCACAAAAGATTAGAATCAAATTGGAAAACGATAATCATATTGGAAAACAATAATTTCTTTCTTTCATGAAAGCAGCAAGTTGAAGGAATCATTTGCATCCACAAGCTTCATCGGCATATGGTGAATTCGGTGATTCCTCCGAGCTATCTCACGACGGCGGATCATGATTCAGACTCAAAAAATCCAACGTATTAGCTTTGGCATCAAGAGGATTCTCTTCTCTTTACATAGCTCTTAACGACGCTTTCTAATGTCGTTCTTCCGTGTGTTGTCAAATGTGTGCACATGCACGAGGTTTGGTCGGCCATCGATCAATTTTAACGAACTCCGATCTATGCGAAGTCGTGACAACTTCGTTATGAGCTTCGTAATATGGAGAAAGGTGATCGTACGATTTCGCAATATCTAGGCCGTATTCAACAAATTGTTGATATCTTGTGTTATACCCCAAAATTTGCCCTCCCATATTCCTCAAGAAATTGCCAAGCCAAGCTAGAAAATTCCCCAAGGGTTGTGCAGTTCAACAGTCTCCTAAACAGTCCAAACTAGGGTTTCAAGTCTGATCAAGAAAAGGAAGTTTTCAAAGGCCCAATCAAGTCTCATATGCTTACAAACATGGTCAAGCATCCCCATATCAAGTTTCAAGGCATTCAGCTCAAGATTGCACAGTCAAAACCCTAAATTGCACTACAGTCAACTGTAGGGGCAAAATGGTCATTTGACAGTCAAAAGTTCAAATTTTTGGTCAACATATCATTTTGAAGCCACAAACATCATTTGATCAATGCTTGATCATGATTCTCAAAATTTGGCTCAGGAATCATCAAAGATGCAAAAGTTGCTATATTTGGACAGCTGAAAAAGTCAACTGAAATTGACCAGGGCATAACTTTCACATGGATTATCAGAAAAATTCCATCCAAAGCTCATTTTGAAGAGAAAGACATTTCCTACAATTCATCTTCATGTTCCAAGTCCAAGAAATGCTCTCACAAAAAGTTATCAATTTCAACATTACAGGTCATTTTCAAAAGTCAACAAAAAGGGACTTTAAGTCAAAGACCATAACTTGAGATTGGTAAATCAAAATGACATGGGACCAAAGGCATTGGTTAAAGGACTCAAATACCTTTCCAAAATGTCCAAGAACATGTGAAAAGCTTAAAAATTGAGCAAGTTATGCCTTGTAGAAGTTGGGAAATTTTGGTGAAATGGCAAAAGTCAACCCTCATTGAAAATCCAATTTTTGACAAAAGGGCCCCATTTTTTCCACTTGGTCCATCCTTGTCAGGCCACACACGTGTCCCATGGTTGATTTCAAGACCAAATGTTGACTTTTTCATTTTTATTTAATTTTTGATGATTTAATTCATTTAATTCATTAAAAATTCAAATAAAATTTAAAAGTCAATGTAGTGGTGTCAAATGGATTTGGACAAGTTCTATACATCATGAATCAACTCAAAAATCAGGCCAAGGTTCATTTTCATACTAAGTCTAGGTTTTGGCTAGAATTTAGGAAAAAATGGTTAATGAACAAACCCTAATGCCAATTCTTTCTCAAGCATGGATTAAGGGGAGTTAGCATGCCTATTCAATTGCAGGATGATCACTGAGTCCAACCCTACCTAGAACATAGCACAAAGCACGCTGAAAAGGCATTTGGACATTTGAAATTTTGGACATAAAAGGCAAAACTGAAATCATAGCTAGGGATCTTCTCAAGCCATAATCTTTATACCAATAGCTTCCTGAGACGATTTTGGACGTATCTCAATCAATAACAACAACAAAAACACCTTGTACTGGTATCTATGAGTCCAACCGTACCTTGGAAATTTTGAAATCACATAGCATGATTCCATCACTTTTATGCATTTTTTTTCATGGATTCATGTTTATCTTGATGTTTCTGAACTAATTGATACGTTTAATTGTGTTTTCGAGCCACCTATGCGAATCCACCATTGTCACATTCTAGGGTTTTGCAGGCCTGTGAATTAGGGGTTCTCATTAGAGGAAAAATTGGACGTCCTCAGTGCCACCATTGAACTCAGCGCCTCAAGACGAAGAGACCTGTGCCCTCGCGAACAATTTATGAAGGCCAGGGTTCTAATCGCTATTAATGGAATGGGCATATTCTGAGGGGGTTCAAAACCCCCGTTAAGTGTTTGATAAATTTGTTTCAGGAAAACATGAGGAAGAAGATGGCATCGTGGCGTACCCTGGTTGGATGAATTTGAATTTTCGCGCTTTTAAACCATTGACGCATTGTTTTACGTTATACTATTCCTTGTATATTTAATTAACAAATAAATCAATTGGCTCAGCTGGCAGGGACGCGCACTAGGGACTACAATGACCTGGGTTCAAACCCCAGGTCTCACACATTTCCAATATTATTTTTCATTTCTAATTCCTATGCAGCATGACATTGAGGACTCACCATGCTCCATCAGAATGCACCATCCACGTGTCCCAGAGCGCTCACATCAAGGGCCAGGATTGGGAAGCATGCTGCACTTCAGTCAAAGGCATCTCACTGGATCAAAAAGTCAACAAAATGCTCACAAATAAATGGGCCAGGCTTGCACCTCCAAATTCAAATCCATACCCCCTGGTTCTATTGTTTTTTTTTCTTTTCTAATTTTCTTTACATTTTATTTTTTTAAATTCACTTGTGTTTTATTTTCTTATCTAATTAATTTTTACAAAAAATATAAAAATATTCAAAAAAATACAGAAAAGACAAAAAAAAAATATAATTAATTTTGACTCTTTTTTAATAAATTAAAATATGACTCATTTAGTTTAATTAGGTCTTAGTTTTAATTTTAATTCTTTTTTTTTTTTTTTCTCATAATAAAAATCCCAAAAAATGTAGAATTAGGTTCATTTAATCTTCATATCCTTTTTAATTCTTTAACCTTTTTCTCACAATGTCATTTATTTTCTATAAATCAAAATTGTACATAATTAGTTTAGAATTTAATTAGGTTAGAAATTAAATCTTTTTCATAATAAACTTAAAAAATGATAGAACTAGGATTTTAATTTTAATTAACTTTTCTCTTTTTTCTTTTAAACCTAAAAAACACAAAAACATTATTTTTAATTTTTAATTTCCTTGATTATTTTAATTATCTGTTAAAGGGTCCAACGCCCTAATTTTGTTTAGTCTTTATTTCGCCCATTTGTGTAAATACCTTTGTATATGCCCCAAAGCCATGTAATTAAAAACTCTCGGACTTTTTATTTATTCGCTTTATTTTATTTTCAGTCAAATCGGGTTCGGTTTTTTTGGCGATGTGGACCCGCGCCGGTTGTAATAGTTAGATTTATTTTCTCGCAAATATAACTGTTAATAAATATGCATGAAAGAATGAATGCCCGAAAATAAAATTGAATCGTTAGATCACCGATGCATGACAAGACAAATAATGAACTGAAAATGACACACAATTCGCACACACCACCCCTAGGGTACGCCTCACTGTTGCCTTTCGAAAGGTGGTCGTCGAGTAGAAAACGTCTTAGTAAGTCCTCATGATCCGGGAACCTGGCATGAGGGTAGCTTCTAAGGTGTCTTCCCATTGCTCCGGTGATCACCATGTCCCTAAAATCGAATTGACCCGAATACCTCCAACGGTGGTGCTACCTACCTCTCAATGGTGGGATGGCACTACTTTAAAGGACTCTTACACAGACGAATTCCTTAGGGTAGGTAGGTTCTCGTAGGTACTTGCTCTAATTTCAAACCAAACAAAAACTCTTTTCACACCAACACACTTTCAAAAACTTTCAAAACAAACTTTTCAAACACTCTGACGTATGAGTTAAACTGAAACTTTTCAAAGAATATTTTTGAAACCCACAATTGAAAAGCAAACAACAATTTTGAAAACACATTGAGCAAGTACCTAAGAGCCCATGGATAACCATGGATAGAAAGGGTGCTAACACCTTCCCTTTCTATAACCTACCTCCCGAACCGAGAGCAATCTCTTAAAAGGAATTTTTCTGTGCTTTTGTCCTTTCCTATTGGAGAAAATAAAAGACGGTGGCGACTCTTGCTTCCGCGACATTTCGCGAACCAGCTTTAAAACAGTCAGTTCCAGATCCACCGA